AGAAAAGTCCTGGATTGGCACTACCCTACCTGCAGTGCTCGGCCCAGCTCCTCCTGAGCAGAAGCTGGAAGTGGGGGGTGGGCTGGGCTGGCCATGCCTCCCCCTGCCTGGGCACCGATTGGCTGGAGGGGAGGGGGCAGTGTCCCTGATTTCCATAAAAATAACTTGGTCACCCTATCCAGGAGTTAGGGGGTTGTGAACCAAGCTGGTTGCCTGGTTTTAGCTCAGTCTGGTATTACTGGACCACCCTTTTGCAGGGGAAAGGGGAGTTCAGTCTCTGCAGCTTTGATCCTGAGAAGCATCATGCAGTTGCTGAACTTCATGTGTAAGGGTAATCATACAGATTTTAGCAGGAGTAATCATACTTGTAAGCACATGTAAACTGCAGGAAGAGCCTGTGTTTCATCATTACCCTAGCCTCACCCCCATTTATTCATCTCTACCTCTTGTCTGTCGTCAATCATACATCTGGACTGCAAAGCCTTGAAGGAAAGGGATTGTCTTTTTTTACTGCTTGTGCATACAGTGCATAGCAGTGGGGCCTAGATCCCAATTAAGGCCCTTAGACGCTATTGGAATTTAAATGAGAAAAAAAATATAATCAGACTTAATAGCATTAGACCATCCAAGTAAAGTTGCATGATGCTGATGGTGTGACTGCACACCCAGAGAGGATGTGATACAGACACCTGTGGCTAAGTGTCCTCTTGTGCAGGGGTGGATCCAGAGGGGGTACACTGGTGCACTTGCACTTCCCTTTTGATTCGTGATCAACTCAAAAGTTAAAAGCCAACTGCCTGGCAGCAGAGGAGTCACTTGCCTTCATGGCTTATCATCATCAACCTGAGCCCTTCTAAACTCTTCATTCCACAGGTGTTAACAACCCTCTCTTCTTTTTAACGGTCTGGATGCTTCACCAAAGCTAGCCTTTCTTCTGTAAGGCTGCTGCTAATGAAGATATTTCACAGCGCTGCAGATAGGCCTGTAGTGTATTATTAAAGATTCTAGTTCCTTTTTAACTGGAAAAAGTGTGTGTTGTTTCCTATGTGAGGCTGCAGTTCACCCTCTGCACCACCCATTGCAACATTCTAGATCAGCCCCTGCCTGAGGGAGCTGTAAATCTAGTGGATTGTCTTGTTTTCGGTTCAAGCAACTGTGTATCAGGAGAGGACACAAGATGCAGGGACCCACAGCTCAGTGCTAGCCTTGGCAGTGACAGATCCAGGTGGTTGTGGCGGGGCGGGGGGAACACACTGGTGCACTTGCACCTCCCCCTTTGACTCCTGCTCCATCCAGAGTTGATAGCCAACCGCCTGGTGGTGGCAGCATTTCTAGGCAGGCAGCACTGAGGGAATCACTTGCCTTCATGGCTCATCATTATCATCGACTCAAGTCAATTCTTCATTCCACAAGTCTTAACCACCTTCTCTCTTTTCTTAATGGTCTGGATACGACACCCATAAAACTAGCCTTTGTTCTGCTGTGCTGTTCCTGGTCATGAGACTCCTATTTCACAGCCTGGAAGATTGCTCTGAACTTATTCCAGTGAAGTGCTATTTATTTTTGTTTCATTCTTACGCTGACTAACATAGCCATTGGCCCCTGGCATATTTGGAAAGCTAGCTTCTTTTTAACTGGGGACAAATGTATGCTGCGTTATACGTGCAGCTGAACCTCATCCTCTGTATCACCCTCTCTCAACAGTGTAGCTCTGCCCCTGCCAGGGAGGGCTGCGAATCAAGCCAGTTGTCTCATTATCAGTCCAAGCAACTGCACACCCCAAGAGGGCATGATACAGGGACCCGTGGCTCAGCACCCTCCTGGGCAGCGTGGATAGAGTCACTTGACTTCCTGGCTCATTATCATCCCCCTGAGCCCTTCTCCACTCTTCTTCCTGCGCCCTTACAGAACAAGATGTGGAAACCCATGATTCAGGGGTGGATTGGGGGGGATGACGGACCAATGGTTTTGATTCCTACTCCACTCACAACTGAAAACCAACCATCTGAAAGCAGCAGCGGTGTTTCTAGCCAGGCAGTGCTGAGGGAGTCACTTGAAGGTACAGTGGTGATGTGTAGGGGGTGCATGGGGATGTACGTGCACCCTGAGAGCGCTGGTGTACCCCCTGACAGTCAGCATTTCCTGCTTAGGCAATGAATGGGCAAGAGTGCTGGTGCTCCCCCTGAGAGCACCGACCAGGGAGTGGGGGCACCAGAAGTGATCCTCACAGCCCATCCTGTGGACTGGGAGGGGTCCCCCTGTGGCTAATTGCGCTGACCCAGATGTGCCAGCGGCAGGATTGGCTATGCAGGGGCAGCCCCCACTCAGCGTGATCAGCTGTGGGGGGACCCCCATTGCTGACTGGCTGCTGGGGGGGGGAAGTGACCCCCCCGACTCTGGAGCTACCAGCTGCCCACATGAGGGTGGGCTTATATCAGCATCTGAACCAGTGGGTCACATCCCAAAAGCCGGTTGCAAGAATATATGAAAGGGTCTGCGAGCAAACTTTAAGAACGGATTCTCCTTTAAAGGAGAAAAACATGGGGCGGGGGACCACACCCGCAGCTCAGCTTGCACGGGGCAACACACCCACACGGGCTGGGGGTGGAGGCAGCAGGTCAGGTGTGGGGGGACTGGGCATCCGTGTGTACAAATGGGTCCTGGTACAAAGAGGTTTGCGCCGCCGGAGGAGACAATGGCTTGTGTGGGATGGGCTGGATCGGGACGACCCTGCCGGCTTCTCTAGACTCGCCAGGCTCCTGCAGCTCGCGGCGCGGCCTGGGGCGGAGCGGAGCGGAGCAGAGCAGGGAA